TTCACTAATTTAAATGATCTCTTAAATGCTGTATTTTCTGTTCGCTCATCTTTCGCTTGTCAAATGACTTTTGGTCTGAAGATCTGAAACCATTTGTCAGAAAAAATATGCAAAAATAGACAACATCACGAGCGAGCCAATACTTCTTCAGGATTTCGGTATGAGGTTGGGGGTTCAATGCTCTGCATCCCCGCATCAGCTTCTCTGCATTGCTCATCAAACTTCAATAGACAGACAGTTTCTGATTCAAAGTTAAAGCCTTCCCAGGAGTACCAGCTAATCTCCAAACACTCCAACAAGCCTGCAAAATATTTCAATTTGAAGAATATCAAAATCTTAGTCAGGAGCGTGCTGAGGCAGAATTTTTGCTGGTTCCATGGTGTAATGGTTAGCACTCTGGACTCTGAATCCAGCGATCCGAGTTCAAATCTCGGTGGAACCTTGCTTGCAAAAAAGAAACAAACTTTGAGAACATACCCTTTGCTGATTTCTTCTTTTTCAAAGCAGAAGTCTTGCTTTTTGGTCTCTTGAACATTTCAGAAGGCAAGTAGTCCATCATTTTTCTTTGCAGATTATCCCCTTGTTGCTGGTCTAGTGGGATTCCAGTACATAACTTATTTTGTCAATGCAATCGTAGTTTGAATAGTAAGGCCGGAATTCTGGCCACCATCATATCGCTCACAGTCAATATTTACCAGTATTCCATGTGGAAGGATTCTCCACATGTGCAAGTAATGGTTTCACATGAGGCTTTCCATGTTGGATGGGAAACTAAGTTGCACAGTGTTTTAAAAAAAGATGATTTTTCTTCTGTTTGGATCTTTCGCACTATTTTTTGTCATTACAAAATATGGTCGAGAAAGGAATTCATCCATGTACATTCCCTTGCATATTAGCGTTACTTAAAAGTGCAGTTTGCACTAATCTCTCTCGGCGACCCTCGACCAACAATGCATGCTGAGGTTAAAGATGTAACGGTTTATGCTCTGGATTTAGGACCCCATTTTGAATGTAAATGTCTGTAGAGTTGGCATTTCCGAATATCCTATGAAATGAAGCTACTGATTTGCATATCCTTACTGGTGGCACAAGACAAAAGCTTCGATGTTGGCTTGAAATCAACTAAGCTACCTTGTCACATTTGGTCACCACATTTGTGCTCGGACATACTTGCCTTTGAAATTGGTGTCAGTTATTTAAATGCTTCTTTGTCATATGAGAGTTGTCATTTTATAGTAATTGCATTATGGTGCATTTTAAGTAGAACAGAGTGAATAATTTGATCGCTTGGAATTGTTATAAATGAGAAATAAACCTTAATGTTTGTAAGTTTGCAGAATAAAGATGTGAATTTATGAAATGAATGACCAAATGCTGGGCTTTTCTACATCATTTATGGGGATGTAGCTCAGTGGAAGAGCGCATGCTTTGCATGTATGAAGTCCTGGGTTCAATTCCCAGCATCTCCATTTGGATGAATAGTGCTTCTTCTAGGCTATAAACTGTGTTCCCCTTTAAATTGCCTGTTTTGCCTTGAAAGGACTTTGTTTCATAAGGCAGCATGCCCAGTTCTGATGGGGTGAACAAGGTACCGAAAAAAGCGCAGTGGCCCAATGCGCAACTTGCATCTATCATGTTTACATTGTGACGAGTGTCAAGGCCAGCACCTCTCAAATGAATACCCTGCCAAATGTGGGCAGGCTTGTCATACCGGATGTCATGGAATCAATCCACCTTTGGGGGTTGTAGCTCAGTTTGAGAAAGAATGCTTGACATGCGTGAGGTCTAAGTTTCAACACGTTGCATCTTCACTAATTTAAATGATCTCTTAAATGCTGTATTTTCTGTTCGCTCATCTTTCGCTTGTCAAATGACTTTTGGTATAAAGATCTGAAACCATCTGTCAGAAGAAATATGCAAAAATAGACAACATCACGAGCGAGCCAATACTTCTTCAGGATTTCGGTATGAGGTTGGGGGTTCAATGCTCTGCATCCCCGCATCAGCTTCTCTGCATTACTCATCAAACTTCAATAGACAGACAGTTTCTGATTCAAAGTTAAAGCCTTCCCAGGAGTACCAGCTAATCTCCAAACACTCCAACAAGCCTGCAAAATATTTCATTTTGAAGACTATCAAAATCTTAGTCAGGAGTGTGCTGATACAGAACTTTTGCTGGTTCCATGGTGTAATGTTTTGCACTCTGGACTCTGAATCCAGCGATCCGAGTTCAAATCTCGGTGGAACCTTGCTTGCAAAAAAGAAAGAAACTTTGAGAACATACCCCTTGCTGATTTCTTCTTTTTCAAAGCAGAAGTCTTGCTTCTTGGTCTTTTGAACATTTCAGAAGGCAAGTAGTCCATCATTTTCTTTGCAGATTATCCCCTTGTTGCTTGTCTAGTGGGATTCCAGTACATAACTTATTTTGTCAATGCAATCGTAGTTTGAACAGTAAGGCTGGAATTCTGGCCACCATCATATCGCTCACAGTCAATATTTACCAGTATTCCATGTGGAAGGATTCTCCACATGTGCAAGTAAAGGTTTCACATGAGGCTTTCCTTGTTGGATGGGAAACTAAGTTGCACAGTGTTTTCAAAAAAGATGATTATTCTTCTGTTTGGATCTTTCGCACTATTTTTTGTCATTACAAAATATGGTCAAGAAAGGAATTCATCCATGTACATTCCCTTGCATATTAGCGTTACTTAAAAGTGCAGTTTGCACTAATCTCTCTCGGCGACCCTCGACCAACAATGCATGCTGAGGTTAAAGATGTAACGGTTTACGCTCTGGATTTAGGACCCCATTTTGAATGTAAATGTTTGTAGAGTTGGCATTTCCGAATATCCTATGAAATGAAGCTACTGATTTGCATATCCTTACTGGTGGCACAAGACAAAAGCTTCGATGTTGGCTTGAAATCAACTAAGCTACCTTGTCACATTTGGTCACCACATTTGTGCTCGGACATACTTGCCTTTGAAATTGGTGTCAGTTATTTAAATGCTTCTTTGTCATATGAGAGTTGTCATTTTATAGTAATTGCATTATGGTCGTACTTAAGTAGAAACGAGTGAATAATTTGATCGCTTGGAATTGTTATAAATGAGAAATAAACCTTAATGTTTGTGAGTTTGCAGAATAAAGATGTGAATTTATGAAATGAATGACTAAATGCTGGGCTTTTCTAGCTCATTTATGGGGATGTAGCTCAGTGGAAGAGCGCATGTTTTGCATGTATGAAGTCCTGGGTTCAATCCCCAGCATCTCCATTTGGATGAATAGTGCTTCTTCTAAGCTATAAACTGTGTTCCCCTTTAAATTGCCTGTTTTGCCTTGAAAGGACTTTGTTTCATAAGGCAGCATGCCCAGTTCTGATGGGGAGAACAAGGTACCGAAAAAAGCGCAGTGGCCCAATGTGCAACTTGCATCTATCATGTTTACATTGTGACGAGCGTCAAGGCCAGCACCTCTCAAATGAATACCCTGCCAAATGTGGGCAGGCTTGTCATACCGGATGTCATGGAATCAATCCACCTTTGGGGGTTGTAGCTCAGTTTGAGAAAGAATGCTTGACATGCGTGAGGTCTAAGTTTCAACACGTTGCATCTTCACTAATTTAAATGATCTCTTAAATGCTGTATTTTCTGTTTGCTCATCTTTCGCTTGTCAAATGACTTTTGGTATGAAGATCTGAAACCATTTGTCAGAAGAAATATGCAAAAATAGACAACATCACGAGCGAGCCAATACTTCTTCAGGATTTCGGTATGAGGTTGGGGGTTCAATGCTCTGCATCCCCGCATCAGCTTCTCTGCATTGCTCATCAAACTTCAATAGACAGACAGTTTCTGATTCAAAGTTAAAGCCTTCCCAGGAGTACCAGCTAATCTCCAAACACTCCAACAAGCCTGCGAAATATTTCAATTAGAAGACTATCAAAATCTTAGTCAGGAGCGTGCTGATGCAGAACTTTTGCTGGTTCCATGGTGTAATGGTTAGCACTCTGGACTCTGAATCCAGCGATCTGAGTTTAAATCTCAGTGGAACCTTCCTTGCAAAAAAGAAAGAAACTTTGAGAACATACCCTTTGCTGATTTCTTCTTTTTCAAAGCAGAAGTCTTGCTTCTTGGTCTTTTGAACATTTCAGAAGGCAAGTAGTCCATCATTTTTCTTTGCAGATTATCCCCTTGTTGCTTGTCTAGTGGGATTCCAGTACATAACTTATTTTGTCAATGCAATCGTAGTTTGAACAGTAAGGCCGGAATTCTGGCCACCATCATATCGCTCACAGTCAATATTTACCAGTATTCCATGTGGAAGGATTCTCCACATGTGCAAGTAAAGGTTTCACATGAGGCTTTCCTTGTTGGATGGGAAACTAAGTTGCACAGTGTTTTCAAAAAAGATGATTATTCTTCTGTTTGGATCTTTCGCACTATTTTTTGTCATTACAAAATATGGTCAAGAAAGGAATTCATCCATGTACATTCCCTTGCATATTAGCGTTACTTAAAAGTGCAGTTTGCACTAATCTCTCTCGGCGACCCTCGACCAACAATGCATGCTGAGGTTAAAGATGTAACGGTTTACGCTCTGGATTTAGGACCCCCTTTTTTAATGTAAATGTCTGTAGAGTTGGCATTTCCGAATATCCTATGAAATGAAGCTACTGATTTGCTGGTGGTACAAGACAAAAGCTTCGATGTTGGCTTGAAATCAAGTAAGCCACCTTGTCACACTTGGCCACCACATTTGTGCTTGGACATACTTGCCTTTGAAAATGGTGTTAGTTAATTAAATGCTTCTTTTTCAGATGAGAGTTGTCATTTTAAAGTAATTGCATTATGGTCTTACTTAAATAGAACAGAGTGAATAATTTGATTGCTTGGAATTGTTATAAATGAGAGATGAGCCTTAATGTTTGTAAGTTTGCAGAAAAAAATATGAATTTACGAAATGAACAACCAAATGCTGGGCCTTAGAACTTGAATTATGGGGATGTAGCTCAGTGGAAGAGTGCATGCTTTGTATTTATGATATGCTGGGTTCAATACCCAGCATTCTGCTTTGGATGAATAGTTCTTCTTGTAGGCTATAAACTGTATTCCCCTTTCAATTGCCTCATTTGCCTTGAAAGGACTGTGTTTCATTAGGCAGCATCCCCAATTCTGTTGGCGAACGCAAGGTACCGAAAAAAGCGCAGTGGCCCAATCCGCAACTTGCATCTATTATGTGTACATTGTGACGAGTGTGAAGGCCAGCACCTCTCAAATTAATACCCTGCCAAATGTAGGCAGGCTTGTCATACCGGATGTTATGGAACCAATCCACCTTTGGGGGTTGTAGCTCAGTTTGAGAGAGAATGCTTTACATGCGTGAAGTCTAAGTTTCAAAACGTTGCATCTTAAATAATTTAAATGATCTCTTAAATATTATATTTTCTGTTCGCTCATCTCTCTTGTGTCAAATGACTTTTGGCATGAAGATCTGAAACCATTTTTCGCAAGAAATATTCAAAAATAGACAACATCACAAGTGAGCTAATACTTCTTCAGGATTTCAGTATGAGGTTGGGGGTTCAATGCTCTGCATCCCCACATCAACTTCTCTGCATTGCTCATCAAACTTCAATAGACAGACAGTTTCAGATTCAAAGTTAAAGCCTTCCCAGGAGTACCAGCTACTCTCCAAACACTCCAACAAGCCTGCAAAATATTCAAATTTGAAAACTACCATAATCTTACTCGGGAGCGCTCTAACATAGAGCTCTTACTGGTTCCATGGTGTAGTGGTTAGCACTCTGGACTCTCAATCCAGACTTAATGTTTGAAAAAAAAAAAAAATCTGAATTCATGTAATGCTGGGCTTCATAATCTAATTTATGGGGATGTAGCTCAGTGGTAGAGTGCATGCTTTGCCTTTATGAAGTCCTAGGTTTAATCCACAGCATCTCCATTTGGATAAATAGTGCTTCTTGTAGGCTATAAACTATATGCCTGTTTTGCCTTGAATGGACTGTGATTCATAAGGCAGCATGCCCAATTCTGATGGGGAATGCAAGGTCCCGAAAAAAGCGCACTGGCCCAATGCGCAACCTGCATCTATCATGTATAGAGTGTGAAGACCAGCACCTCTCAAATGAATAAAAAAAGAAAGATACTTTGAGAACATACTCTCTGCTTATTTCTTCTGTTTTATTGCAGAAGTCATGCTTTTTAGTCTTGTGAACATTCCAGAAGGCATTTAGTCTATCATTTTTCCTTCCAGATTATCCCCTTGTTGCTTGTCTAGTGGGATTCCTGTACATACCTTATTTTGTCACTGCAATCATAGTTTGAACAGTAAGATTGGAATTCTGGCCACCATCATATCGCTCACAGTCAATATTTACCAGTATTCCACGTGGAAGGGTTCTCCACATGAACAAATAAACATTTCACATGAGGTTTTCCATATGGGTTGGGAAACTGAGTTGCACAGCTTTTTCTAAAAAGATAATTAGTCATCTGTTTGGATCTTTCGCACTCTTTTCTGTCATTACAAAATAGGGGTAAAAAAAGAATTATAAAACGGGTGCTTCCCATCCTTAAATGTGATTGGCTGAGCCGCGTTCCATGCCGGTATAAAATCACAGTAACCCACTGTATACTGAGGCAGACCGCAGCACAAAATATCCCTGCGCGCCTGGCCTCGCAACCAACTACTCTGCGCTCGACTGACTCATTAAGTTACGTTTGTTTCAAGACCTTTAGCTCGCTATTTCAGTGTTAGCGATGTTTAGCCTTTTAACCCGCGAACCAGTTGGCTATCTACCTAGCTAGCTGTAGCATTATAGATTTCGATATCACTTTAACTTGCTAGCGACGTTGCTAAATAGCTCGCTATTTCAGTATTAGCGATAAATAGTTGATTTTTTTCTAGTGTATTTATTTTATGGGCTATGTGTAGGGTAACCACATCCACTGTAGTGAACGCTAGCTAGTTGACAAGCTGGCTAGCAAACTAATGTACAATTCAACATTTTCCTGGGCACCGGCAAGTGTGGAGGACAAAAGTCAATCTTGTTCCCTACTATCGCTGCTGGTTGTAATGATATGGCCGATAGGCGCGAGTTGAGAACAAGGAAACTCAAAAACCGAAACCGAAATGAACGTTAAATTATTTAACGGGGCCTTCGGGAGACCGAAGGAGACATTCCAAATAGCCTGCTTTCATAGTATATTTACATTAATGAGCCCAAATAGCCTGATGTGACATGATAATGGTGCTAGATGAAAAAGCAATCTTAGCGTCTGTGTTGCTTGCTAACCATTCTGTCCACTCGATCTTGCTTGGTGGAAGAACGAATAGTTCTCAATTTTATTGTTGCATTATTACCAATAAATTGTTGGGTTTTTTTTCTTGTGTGTTTATTTAATGAGCAATATGTAGGGTAACCCTTTTATAAAAGCAATAAGCCCCTTGAAGCAGTGGGTTACAGTGATTTTATAACAGCGGAGGGGCACTAAGGCACTCCGCTGCGTGTCGTGCCTTAGAATGCCCCTCCACCGTTATAAAATCACTGTAACCCACTGCTTCTCAGGGCTTATTCCTTTATTCATCCCCCCCCATATTAGCGATACTCTCTAATTAGAGCAGTTTGTACTAATCTCACTCAGCGACCCCCGACTAACAATGAATCCTGAGTTTCAAGATGTAACAGTTTACACTCTGGACTTCATGTCCCCCATTTTGAACGCAAATGTCAATCAATTTGGCATTTATGAATATCCTGTGAAATGAAGCTACTGATTTGCATATCCTTACTGGTGGTACAAGACTAGAGCTTTGATGTTGGATTGAAATCAAATAAGCTACCTTGTGACAATTGGTCACTACATCAGTGCTCGGACATACTTGTCTTTGAAAATGGTATCAGTTATGCAAATGCTTTTTTGTCAGATGAGAGTTGTCATTTTAAAGTAACTGCATTATCATCATACCGAAGTCAAACAGAGCTAAGAATTTGATTGCTTGGAATAATTCTAAATGAGAGATGAGAAGAAATGTTTGGAATTTTGCATAAAATCATTGAATTAACAGAAAAAAATTACCATATTCAGGACTTCAATTTGCAGGCTGTGGGGATGTAGCTCAGTGGTAGTGTTTCCTTTGTCTGTATGAAGTCCTGGCTTCAATCCTCAGCATCTCTATTTAGATAAGCAGTGCTTCTTGTCGGGTCTAGATGACATTCTCCTTTAAATTGGCTGCTTTTCCTCGAAAGGACGACAGCCCTTAAGACAGCAAGGCCAATTCTGATGGGGAAAAAGTACCGAAAAGAACTCAGAGGCGCAATACGAAACTTGCATCTATTCTGTATATAATTTAATAAACATGAAAACCAGCATCAAATGAATACCCAAGCAAATGTTGGCACACAAGTCATACTGGATGGAATGGAACTAATCAACCTTTTCGGGGTTGTATTTCAGTTTTAGAGAGAATGCTTTACATGCGTGAGGTATAAGTTTCCACCCCTTACATCTCCACAGTGGCTTTTTTCTTTGTTCTTCAACCCTCAATGCAGTGACACTGGTTTTCTTATCAAAATAATGACGTTCGGCCAGGTAAAGTTTTTATTAAAGTGTTACAAAAGCTGCTGTGCCGTCATGTAGTTTTTCATTTATTCTTTTTGTCACTGAAGGTAAAAAGGGATACAACTCCAGTGGGTCCTGTGTGAAAGTGAAAATGTCCCCAAACTTACTCAATCAGACAACTCGTGTTTTTTTTTTCTTCTTCAATGAATGTGTTTAATGGTTTTCTCAAGAAAAAAGCAGTTAAACAGCAGGAACAACAAACCAAATCAGTTCGAAACAAAACAAAACAAAACAACTCAGACATCGTCACTGGAAAAAGGAAGAAGGCACAGGCATTATGTAGTGTAAGACAACCAATCTTAAAAAGACTCCATACTATATGAAACCTCTCGTGAAAATAGTCCAGTCCAAAATAGGACATAAAGGGCTCCCATGTTCTATGGAATACATCGTCTTAGGAATGCAACATATTCAACATATTCAAGTATGACATTATGCCACTGTGTTTTTCTTGGGACTTTGTCTGATATCCAGTTCCTCTGAGTGCACTTTCTTGCACTAAATGTAAGCATTCCATTGAGATTTCTTCTATATTTTTCAGTAATAGAGCCATTTGGTATCCCAAGTAGCATCACTATCCAATATATCATTCTTGGATCATTCTTCCAAGTATTCCAAGTCTACCTGAAGTTTCCTGCGTTAATGTAACTGATCACGTTTTGTTGAATATGTTTGCACTGGTGTAAGATTTATTCATCCTGGAGATGCCTCTCAGAGGCATGCATTAAAGCACAAGCTCATAACAATTTCTGTACTCAGTGCTGCAGATTTTTAGACAGTCATATTCCAATAAAAACAAAACTGTCCATCAGATTTAGACACATTTTAAACTTTTCAGGAGGGCAAAGATGCTTCCAAAATCATAAAATGAATGGTTTCTTCTCCTGAAAAATAAAGCATAAAGAGCCACGTATTTTCAAAAACTAAATAAATCAAAATTTAGTGTGACCCTTTACCTAAAAATTAGATACTCTGCCCTGTACTATTAAAGGTGATTGATTTTTGCTTGTTCCAAGCGTACTGGAAAACTTGATACCATTCTTCTGCAGACTTACAGGCTTCTCTCTCTCCAGGTAATCGCAGACACCCTTGATGGTGTTGAGATCAGGGCTCTGTTAAAATTAAATCATCTGGATCAACTGCTCTGAATAAAATTTAAACATTTATTTGAACAATTTTTTTTTTTGAAATAACATTTAATATTTCAAATGTTCCCTCAGCAGTACTATCGTGGAAAACTGAAAATAAACATCTAAGACAAATTTAAATAAAAAAAAAATCTAAGGTGCTAAAAACTTACGCACAGTACTGTATATTGGCATTACTTGCAGACAAAAATAAAATCTGGATTTTGGTTAACATATTTTGCATCCATCAGTTAATCCAACAAAAACTATAAATTCTAGATGATATTGTAGGATTGATTATCCCCAGTTTCAGGCAGCTTTTACCTGCCCATCTGTAGACAAAAAGCAAGATCCATTGTTTAACCCATAATATGTTTAACTTCTTTATATACCCTAGGCAGGATCCATTGAGAATATATTTTTGTTTTTCAAGTATGATCCAGCAGACATACCAGGGGGAACACCTGTAAGTTTGGATTGGGAAAGAAAGATGTCAGTACTCAAACCCTTTGAGATGTTTCTGAATTAAGTGCCTTGCTCAAAGGCACACCTGCTGGGTTTTTTAAAAATAACATTTACACCTCTCTTGATGCATTGTAAGGGTGTATTCACACATGTGGCTCGCTTGCTTTGTTCCGATTCAGGGGCAAAAATGATACAATTGTTGCATTTGTCCTTTGGCTCCTTTGTGTTCACACGGCAACAGTCTCTACCAGTCCAAAGTTGTAAACAAATGCCATGGGCGAAGAAACTGTTCTCTCATTGGTCAGAAATCTTACCTGGAAAAGAAGGGGTGTTTCAGTCAAGTGGGTGCCCCACCCCTTTAGATAGACTTGCAGTTGGTCCTGAATGAATTGATTCCAATGAGGAGAAGTGAACGTAAGCACAGATTATCACCGATTATTTTGCCCCATTGTCACAGAATTAAATATTGGACTTATTTTTCACAGGCCGCATATCTTCCAAACATTCTGGTGCTGCAATGGCATTTTTAAAACCAACAGATCATGAGAAAATGAACGTTGTTTGAGACCTCTGTCAGCAGCACTCAAGTAACATCTGGCAATACAGAAATACAGTATGGACTGCGGGAAACCACAAATAAAAATTTAAATTTAAATAATGCTTGTATTTATATGTTCAGTAATACTGTTATTGTCATCGACATTTAATCGTTTTTAAAGGGGAAAAGGAATATATTTAATCGCTATGATCTTTAACTGGATTGATATCAGATATTAAATAAGTGGCAAAATAAGGCGCAGAACTTAAATGTGAAGCGTATTTTGCGTTGGCCAAGCACGTTAAAAATGCCAAAACTTTATGCAGCAATAGGTTGCAATAATTGGAACAAGCTATTCGTCTTTTCTTTTCCGAAGTATGCAGACAGGTAAGGAAGAGAATAGAAACTGTTGTATTTCAGACCAGCTTAATAGGCTTAAACTAGCTGATGCAATGCCCTTCAAGCTATAGCTAATGCCAATTACAGTAAAATACGTTACGTAATTTGAGTATTATTTAATTTAGCCTTCATTATACCGGGGAGTCCCACTGAAATAAAAAAACACAGACCTGGCCAAACATTATCCTGTTCAAAACAACCACTCCAAGAGTAAACGCTATCAAGCCAAAATCTAATTTTTAAGCTCATGTCAAATAACATTTGCAAACGCAGTAGCTGGCCAGCTACTTCATATTCGTAATGCGGAGTACAGCCATTAGCTGTGTTGTAAAATGCCTGATGTTGAAAAGTAAAAGGAAATATACACGCAACATGCAGATATAAGATAGATACTTATATATCCCAACGTTTAATTGCTACCATTTAGCCACCACTTCTGACAACAAGATCCGCTACCGCACCCACTTAGGAGACAGAAAGTGTGACCAATTTCTCCCAGTGGGGGTCTATGGGCGATGAGGAGTCTTGCTAAACTGTCTTTGCAACAGCTATGAGTCAGTTGTGCCGGTTGCTGAGATGACTGTGTTCTCACTGCAAACGAACCGCTCCAGGGTTCGAATGGAAGCGAGCCGAGACCACCCTTTTATGGCGATCTCAGCCCGCTTGTTTGTTCCGCATCAGAGAGCGTTTGCTGTGTTCACGCCAGCCCAAACGAACTGATCTCTGGGGGGAAACGCGCCCTGTGTCGGAACAATTGCTCCAAACGAGCCAAGTGTGAATACACCCTAAGTTAGCATTGTCAGTCCCTATGTACCCACTAGGGGGTTAAACTAAAACTCAACAGTTGCCACTTAAGCAACCCACTATTAGGCTACCCTGTGTTTAACCCCCTCACATCTGCGCTATCTGTTGAAAATGTCATCTTCATCTGATAACACTTGATCTGCCAATATAATTATGGTCAGTTTTCCCACATGAAGGACTTGATGGGGTCGACAATCATAAAAAATAGGACCAAGGGTCCTGTAGCTTACTGGCAAGCAGTCTTACAGCGATGGTACAAGTTATGAAAATTTCATGTGAAGTTTGACATTTGAATCAATGAAAATCAATGTCAAGGTCACTAAATTAAAGTTCACATACATTTATAAGACCTTCTGTAATACAATCCTAAGCTTTGAAGCAGTTTTGGTGATACAAGGCATTATAATATATCAATATGTATTCAATATGTCAATTGTGAATGAAAGGTCACAGAATGTCCAGTTGCGGTCAGCAAATGGACTTCATATATGACTCTCTAAGAGTCTCCATACAAACCTTGGCTCAATCTGTGACCATTTTGGTGATACAAGTCATTGTAATTTTACTGTGGAGTTTGACCCTCAAAGGTACAGTCAAGTTGACTGTCACCAAATGAAAGTTCATATGCGACTTCCTAGAAGTCAGAAACAAAAACCAAGGCTCCATCTGCGACCATTTTAGTGATACAAGCTATTGAATTTTCACTAGGTCACATTTCACCTTTGAAGGTCAATATAAAGGTCACCAAATGAAAGTTCATATATGACTTCCTATATGTCTATAATACAAACCTAGACTCCATCTGTGACCGTTTTGGCAAGACAAGTCATTGTAATTGTATTATGTCAAGTTTAACCTTCAAATGTCATCAACAGTCAAGCTAAATGTCACCAAATGAAAGTTCATATGTGACTTCCTATGTCAGTAACATAAACCTAGGCTCCGTCTGTGACCTTTTCAGTGATAGAAGTCATTGAATTTTCTCTAGGTCAAGTTAGACCTTCGAAGGTCAATATGAAGGTCACCAAATGAAAGTTCGTATATGACTTCCTATACTTCTCCAATACAAACCTACACTCAATCTGTAACGATTTTGCTGATATAAGTCATTGAAATTTCACTGTATAGTTATGCCGTTCAAGGTCTCTGAAGGTCATGTTCAAGGTCACCCAATGAAACTTCATACATGACTTCCTATATGCTCACAACACAAACCTAAGCTC